TTTTACACATTGTCTACAAGAATATCCAGACAGAACTTAGGCTAGTACAGCATTCCTATCACCTTTTTCTTTATCTTCTGAGAAAGAAATTTGTCACAAAGTCAACACAAGAATTATCTAGAAGTTTTAGATGTAAAAGAATGAGAATTAATCCATAAATAAAGATCTTGCTCTATTAATGTGCCCAACATTCTGTTAGCAGATTTTAAGGTTAATATTGGAGACACTGACTATATGCCTATTGGATTATGGATTATTTCAACCATCTACTATATTATCTTGGAAAAGTTTATCTCTCTAATTTCAGTTTCCTCTTAAAATGTGGATAGAATTAGCTACTAGGGTTGATATAAAAATTAGATAAGAATTTATGCATAGGGCTGACACATATTAAGCCTTGAAAATGTTAGTGACGATGATGATAATGATGACGATAATGATGTCTGCTATTATTTTGGAGACCCCAATGAATCATGCGTCACAATTCATACTTCTGTGTACTCCTCTTGCTGTGAATCTGGACTGGCCCTGTGATCAACTATAACCAATGGAATTCAGTGGAAGTAACACTGTGCCATTTTTGGGTCTAATGAGACTTTAAAAGGCTTGAAAGCTACTACTTTTGTGCTTGGGGGATGCCAACTGCAACATAAGAAATCTGACAATGCTGGGTCACCATACTGGGAGCAGCCCAGCCTAGCCACATGGGTAGGTCACATGTAGGAGCTCCCAGTAGACAGCCAGCAACAATCTGCCAGCCATGTGAGTGAGGTCATTGCTATTAGCCACTCTGTTCCACAACCTGTAGCTCTGCACATTTCCCTTGCCCTGGCTCACCTATCCAGTCCAGGTCTGAGTTCTAGCTTCCCCCACCCTTATTCAACTAAGAATGAATCCAGACAAGAGTTCACCAAATAATTTCAGTAATGCATTTTTCTTTCTGATGCACACATGGAAATCATTTACTGAAAATGATTTATGAGTATTTTGTATCTAATGAAAATAATGCAACTAATGTATCATTTTATTTTAAAAGTAACTCAAAAACACCCCAAAATGCAAAGGTTGATTATGTAGTATGCTGAAGATACCTCATGATAAATCATCAAAAACCACTGTAAATTCTTCCATCTTACCATTTTATATTCTTTCCAGCCTCTTTGGAAATCCAAACTTCCATCTTCACGATGCTGTATTACAGTCCAACCTCCCCCATTAAGATCCATATTGCAAAATACCTGACAAAGGGAAAATAAAGTCAAATATGTTTCAAAATAGAAATAAGGTGGAGAGGACTATAGATTAAAAAATAAAAATTACTATGTTGAAAAATGTTAATTTAGACATATTATTGGTTATTTCCTCCTATGATTCATAGTTTGAGTTGTTTCTGATTAAATTCTACCAATGGTGCATGTATTACTTACAAAAATTTTAATCAGTTACCTAAAAATTAAGTCTTAGTCTCACACTATAAAACATATAAAAAAAATCTTTGTCTTAAATGGAAATAGGCACTTGTGTATGTTCAAATTTTTAAAA